CGGAGTTATGTATAACCTCCCTCCCTGGCATTCTGTGGTTGGCACCACCTCCTGTGGTGGCCGTTTTGAAGTTGTGCCCACCACTCTGTGTTCCAAAGGCACCTGCAGGCTCAGAAAGGTTCCCCGGCATAGTGTGTTCATGCCTGTTAGAACTGTAACCTGGGGTGTGGACTTGACTTCGAATGTGGAACGGCAGCTCACGTTGCATTTCTGGGTTTTGTCCCTGTGCATGCCGAGCAGCTCTGCTCCTCTTGTTGTGAGTGACCCTGAGCTTGTCAGACACGGATAAAACCTGTGCTGTGTCCGATGCTCCCTCTAAGCTTTGGCATCTTGTGAGGAAAAAATCAACTTTTTGAGCTCCTGGCATTAAAGTTGTGAGCAAGTGATTTGGCTGCTGCAGAAACTAGCTTGCTCTGGAGCCATCCCTTCCTGAGCTAAGACAAAAAGGTGTGAGCCGGAGGCTAAGAAACTGTGAGCTAACCCACACTAACTCAGCCTAGAGGGAACATTGGCTGTGTCTGTCTCGCACTGCAACATCTGCACGTTTGAGCAGACATTTCTTGCATCTCCCTAGGGCAGAAACATGGGGTCTCGCCCATTTGCAGTGGCTCTTGAAGACCACACTCAGTGAGAGTTCTCTAGGGCATGGGGCTTCGGCAGGGCTCTTTTTGTAGAAAAAGCCCAGCAGGAACTCATTAGAATAATAGGCCACACCCAACAACAGAAACTCATTAGCATATTAGGCCACACCCCCATGCCTTCCCTTGGCTTGCCCAGGCGCCGCGTGGCTGGGAGGGGAGGGTAGGCAGTTTAAACTGCCTTCCCTTGGCTTGCCCAGGCGCCGCGTGGCTCCGGGGAGCCCAGGCAAGCTGGCCCTTGGAAAGGCTGGGGAAGGCACGGGGAGCAGTGTTCCCTCTAAGCTGAGTTAGTGTGAGCTAGCTCACAGTTTTTTAGCCTCCAGCTCACAGATTTTTGTCTTAGCTCAGGAACGATGGCTCCAGAGCAAACTAGTTTATGCAGCAGCCAAATTGCTCGCTCACAACTTTAATGCCAGGAGCTCACCAAGTCGAATTTTTGCTCACAGGACTCCACAGCTTAGAGGGAGCCTTGACGGGGAGGCATTTAAATACCTCTCTGATCCTTGCAGGGCCTCCTCAGCCCTCCCGCCTCGGAGTCGCCGGGGGGGGGGGGTCGCTCTCCAGGCCTTCCCTCTGTAGCCAGGCACACAGAGGTTTTGGCTGTAGTGGGTGCCTTGGGGCTTCCGGTCCCCACTCTGGCCTTCCCTTTGGTCAACGTTCTGTTTCAACCCTAGTTCTTCATCTGTAAAGCGGCCAGATACTAACGGTCTCCCTTCTGTGGAGGTGTTGCAAAGATTAATGTGTTGGCCTAGTAAAAGTCCTAAGAGACTTCTTAAGGGGGTCAAAATATCGGTCCTCCACTACACAGATTCGGTGCAGATCTCTCCTTCGTAAGGAGGAAAAATGAAAACGACGTCTTTGCAGACGCTGCTGTCTTCTGCAAAGCTGTAAAACGGGGTACAAACGACACCCTTTGGAATGCGGATAGGATGTTGGATGAGGAGAGCTTCAGATTGGAGTTGTCTTTTTAGTTCTCTTTGTTAAAATTGCATGTCGTTTTGCAGCCATGTGTCAGATTAGCTGAAGGGTCCCCAACGTGGTGCCCAGAGATTTGATTGGCTGTGTGTGGTGTTTTTTTTAAAAAAACGTTGCTTTGGCAGCAGCTGCCACCAACAGCACAAGGATCTACCCTGTGTTACTGAAGTTAAACTGTGGCAATCATTTTGTGGCTGTCTCTGCCTCCTGTGGCAATTGTTTCGTGGCAGCCATTTTGTCGCTGTGCCCACCAAGGCTATTTTTGGGCAGGAACGCACAGGAACGGAGTTCCGGCTGGCTCCCAAGTTGGCCACACCCAGCAGGAACTCATTAGCATAATAGGCCACACCCAACAGCAGAAACTCATTAGGATTGGCTACATTAGGGTTGTGTGGCCTAACATGCAAAGGAGTTCCTGCTACAAAAAAGGCCCTGGGTTTTGACCACAAACAAGGGAAACAGAATAAGAAGCAAAAGGTGGGTGTGGCTGGATGACCACACTTCTGGTAACATGGGAATGTGGCCTAATATGCTAATGAGCGGTGCAGTCAGGGGTGTGGCCTAATATGCTAATGTGTTTCTGCGTCTGGGTGTGGCCTATTATGCGAATGAGTTCCTGCTGGACTTTTTCTACAAAAAGAGCCCTGGCGCCCACCATGCTGTGTCAGAATTCCAAAGGTGCCCACAGGCTCAAAAAGTTAACCCCCGGGTTAGCTTGATGGTCGTTTCTCACCTCCGAAGAGCACCCGGAAGGGGCACATGGGATGTGTCGAAGTATGTTGGGTGAGGGAAGGTGCTTTCCCCTTGAAACTTTCTTCCCGGCGCCATGCTGACCCCTGCCGGAATTGTATGCTTGTGTTTATTGCTCTGGAACCCCCTGGGGTGAAAAAACGTGGATGGAGTTAAGGCCCTTCCTCCTGCCACCCGGGCCGGGGCTCGGCATGCAGGGGGGCACGCGTGCCTCTTACACTTATTTCCTCTTATCGATTTAGTTAATTTATCTCCCAGCTTTCTCCCCAGTGGGGACCTGAGGTGGCTTACATGATTCTCTGTGTTTTATCCTCACAATAACCGTGTGAGGTAAGCTAGGCTGAGAGCGTGTGACTGGCCCCAGGTCACCCAGCAAGCATCCATGGCACGAGGGGGGGATTCAAACCTGGGTCTCCCAGATCCTGGTCCGACACTTTAACCGCCACACCACCCTGGCTGCGGTCCCCTGGGAGCAGATTTCTGCCGTGCCTGAACGGTGTCCCTGTCGGGCGGCTTTCTTTGCCCTCGTGTGTGTGTGGTGGGGAATAACGTTTTGCTCTTATTTTAGCAAGCCCCCGTTGACTTTGTATCTTCCCATGGTATAGCCACGCTGTTTTCTTTAAAGTAATTTCCGTGGATGTTGGAAAGTTGTGTAACCCCTGTACGACTTTCCACCATCCAGCGGAAATCCCTTTATACGGAGTGTCCCCATTCCTTTAGGAGTCTGTTTGTTCAGTTGGGATTGGGCCTCTTACGAATTGCCTCGCCTCTCCACCACGTTCTTTGAGGGCCAAACTAGACACAGTCGCGCAAAGTGTAACCTTGGCCGGATGGGGAGGGAAGGGGTGCTTCGTCCTTCTTCCGCCAGCTGCTTTCCGGCTGAAACGCTTTGCCCTTCCCAGCTACTTTTCACCTGCAACATTTCAAATGGGTGGACAATGCTCCCTCTAAGCTCTGGAGTCCTGTGAGCAAAAATTCTACTGTCTGAGCTATTGGCGTTAAAGTTGGAAGCAGGTGATGTGGCTACTGCATCAATTAGTTTGCTCCGGAGCCTTCCTTCCTAAGCTAAGACAAAAATGTGTGAGCCGGAGGCTAAAAAACTGTCAGCGAGCTCACAGGTCAAAGCAGTGCTATTCCCAATGTATGGCTGCGAAAGTTGGACTATAAGGAAGGCCAAGCACCGAAGAATAGATTCTTTTGAACTATGGTGCTGGAGAAGACTCTTGAGAGTCCCTTGGACCGCAAGGAGATCAAATCAGTCAATCCTAAAAGAAATCAACCCTGACGGTTCCCCGTAAGGCCAGATAATGAAACTGAAGCTCAAATACTTTGGCCACCCAATGAGAAGGGAGCACTCACTGGAGAAGACCCTGATGCTGGGAAAGATTGAAGACCAAAGAAGACGGGGACGGCAAAGGATGAGATGGTTAGACAGTGTCATAGATGCAACGAACATGAAGTTGAGCAAACTTCAGAGGACGGCGGAAGACCGGGAGGCCTGGCGTGATCTGCTCCATGGGGTCGCGAAGAGTTGGACTCGACTGTGCAACTAAACAGCAACAAAAATTATAGGTGGTATTGCCTATAGTTGGTACATAGTATTGCCTATAGTTGGTACATAGATAGCTGAATACTAATGAGCCAGCTTTCAGTCATTCCAGCCACCCGTTAGGAACCCAGCCCCTGGTTATGACGTCACTTATCAAAGGGGACAGGTAGGGGGTGATAAAAGAACCTCCTGGCTGGCCTTGACTGACCAAAGGTCGGAATCAGTATAAGGCAGCTTCAGCCATTCAGTGCATGAAAACCACAAACCTAATTGTAAAATGACCCACACGCACCCAAGTGGTGAAGCAAGTCAGAGTACATGGCCCTTGCCCACTTTCTTTTAGGGTTGACTGATTTGATCTTCTTGCAGTCCAAGGGACTCTCAAGAGTCTTCTCCAGCATCATAGTTCAAAATAATCTATTCTTCGGCGCTCGGCCTTCCTTATAGTCCAACTCTCGCAGCCATACATTACTACTGGGAATACCATTGCTTTGACCGTCTTTTTTGACCTTCAATCTTTCCCAGCATCAGGGTCTTCTCCAGTGAGGGCTCCCTTCTCATTGGGTGGCCAAAGTATTTGAACTTCAGTTTCATTGTCTGGCCTTCCAGGGAACAGTCAGGGTAGATTTATTTTAGAATTGACTGGAGTCTTCTCCAGCACCATAGTTCAAAAGAATCTATTCTTCCGTGCTCGGCCTTCCTTAGAGTCCAACTCTCGCAGCCATACATGACTACTGGGAATACCATTGCTTTGACCACGCGGACTTTTGTGGGCAGGGTGATGTCTCTACTTTTTATCATGCTGTAATATAATTTAATTTAATTTAATTTCATATAATAATAATATAATAGCAGCCTGATATTCCCCTGCAAACTACGGAGACCATCCTGTTCTTATTGAGCACTTTATTCTTTGTTGATTTTAAATGGTTTTTACTGTTTTATTCTGTTTGACTGCGTTTTTATGTGTGAACACTACTGCTCCCTTGTAAGCTGCCCTGAGCCCGCTCGCGGGGAGGTCGGGGTATAAATATAACAAATAAATAAATAAATAACGGTCGTCTTGTTGCTTCCCTCCTTTTCCCCAGTTGCCTTCCTGTCCACGCCGCAAGATGTTGTGACTGCCAAGAAAGAAGGGGCAGGGAAGAAAAGAAGGAAGGGGAAAGGGAAGAAGAGAGACCCCTGCTTGCGAAAATACAAGGATTATTGTTTCCACGGAGAATGCAAATACATCAAGGCACTAAAAGCGCCCTCCTGTGTGTAAGTTACAGCGTATCTGACTAGGGGAAATGCCTCGATCTTTTTTGGTGGGGCGGGTGACAATAAAAGATGGTTCCCCCCGCTTACTTTTTGCCCATCTGGGCTGGCACTAGTAGTGCAGAGCTTGCTATTCCGCAGAAGGAAGGGCTGCACGGCTGTCCCCTAATATTTTAGAAGTTCACCTTGGTGTTGGGAGGAGGGAGTTCACAGTCCAGAGAAAACCAGACAGAGACCAACCAAACCGTGGAATGTTTTGTCGCAGGGAGCTGGCGGCTGGTCGTTTGGTGTGCTTTGGGGTTCTTGTAGTACATTGGAGTTTCTCGAAGAAGAAGGAGAAGGAGGAGAAGGAGAAGGAGGAGAAGGAGAAGATTGGATTTATACCCCGCCCTTCACTTGGAGTCTCAGAGCGGCTGACAAACTCCTTTCCCTTCCCCTCCCCACAACAGACACCCTGTGGGGTAGGTGGGGCTGAGAGAGCTCTGACAGGAACTGCTCTTTTTCAAGGACAGCTCATTATCAGAACTACGGCTTGCCCAAGGTCATCCAGCCAGGTGCAAGTGGAGGAGTGGGGAATCAAACCCGGTTCTCCCAGATTAGAGTCCGCGCACTTAACCACTACACCAAACTGGCTCTCCAAGTGAAAAACCTCCAAGTGAAAGAAATGAAATTACAGAAAAGCTTTTAGAACTTCAGCCGAAGGACGGGGAATTGTGGAAGGAGAGGAGCTGCCTTGCGTATTAGCAGTCGTATCAAGGGCAATTTTCCATGGCTGCTTGCGACACTGGGGAGCCGGTGTGATGTCAGGGTTGGATTAGGACCAAGGAGATGCCGGTTCAAGTCCCCGTTCCGTTATGACGCTCATGGGATGACTTGGGGCAGTCAGTCTCTTGTCAGGGATAGAATGACGGGGGAGTGGTGTGTACATCATTCTGAACTCCTTCGAGAAAGGCAGGGCTAAAAAAATAGGCTCGATCGGGCAGCTGCATCCTGGGTAGTGGGTACATATCAAGTGGACCTGCTAGACGATGAGACTGCTGGATTTTCCTTGTGGCAGTAAGTCTGGCTCAGGTGCCCGTAGTCTGGGGCAGGGATGCTCTGTAGTCTTGGTGCTTGGGGGGGGGGCAACAGTTGGAGGGCTTCTGGAGTTCTGGCCCCGCTGGTGGACCTCCTGAGGGCACCTGGGTTTTGGCCACTGTGTGACACAGACTGTTGGACTGGACGGGCCATTGGCCTGATCCAACATGACTCCTCTTACGTTCTTATACACAACGCAGCATCCCTGCAACAGAAATGCTGCCTTACTCTGTTCGTTGAGGTGGATCTGAAATGCTTCCCCCGACGACTGCGTTAGAGCAGAAGAAAAGACCTGGCTCTTGCATTATGCTTTAAAGCGAGCTGTGAGAGCCGTGTGCCCGATGTGTTTTCCGTTACCCTTTGCAAACGTAACAACCTTGAGCTTCGTGCTTTTCCCGTGTCCCTTTTGTGAACCGCGCAGGTGCCACCTGGAGTCTGCAAGGGGACGAGCATCCAAAGCGTGCTTTGTGCTGGGCAGAGGTCTGCAGGCGGAGGCCACTTACGCGCTGTCATTTCTGTCGCTCGATTGTCCCTATTGCTGCAGGGTTCCCCCCCCCTCCAAATGTGTTTTCCTCTCTCTAGTAGTCTAGTAGTTGGGAGGGCCGAACACTCTCCTTCCTCTGCTTGTTTGTGAAGTGAGGATACTCCGGAGGATGACATTCTGTCTCCTTGGCTGGCCAGGGAGGTCTCCCTCCGGTTCCCCAACATCAGTCTGTGCCCCGCCAGGCCAAACCACTGCCCTCTGGGACAGTGCCGCAGCCGCTAGAACGGTGTTGGCTCATTAGCTGGAGTCCCTGGCGCTTCCATCTGGAAGGTGGTGGCCCTTTGCGAGCCGCGTCATCACTCGGCAGGCTGCCGTGTAATCGGAGCATTGAAGCATGAGGATGACATGGATGTGTGGAATGTGTTGCTTTCAACGGAGCTGTTTGGAAGCGCGAGACACTCGAGCTAAGACGTTTGGAGCAGGCCTCTTTCCTGCCTGAGTAGTGGGTCTTGAAAGTCTGTTTACTCCACCGCTCTGACTCACCTCTGGGGGAATTTGGCCCCTGCGGTTATTCTTACCGTGTGAGTAAGGCTGTCTGAACATGTGAACAGGCAAAGGCTCAGAAGCTCCAAGGAATGAGCGCAGAGATCCTTGCTATAGAGGGCGAAAAGGAGGGGAACCACGGGTCTCTTCGGGCGGCTGAAAGTGAAGATACTGGGAGGAGCAGCAGCATGGAAGCGAAAGCCTTTTGCCTGGTCTTTTGTAGTTACAAGAACCAGTTACAAGTTACAAGCCAGTTTGGTGTCGTGGTTAAGTGCGCGGACTCTATTCTGGGAGACCCGGGTTTGATTCCCCACTCCTCCACTTGCACCTGGCTGGATGACCTTGGGCAAGCCATAGTTCTGATAAGAGCTGTTCTTGAAAAAGAGCCATTTCTGTCAAGAGCTCTCTCAGCCCCACTGACCTCACAGGGTGTCTATTGTGGGGAGGGGGAGGGAAAGGAGTTTGTAAGCCGCTCTGAGACACCTTTGGGTAGTGAAGGCCGGGGTACAAATCCAATCTCTTCTCTCTCTCTTCTCTTCTTGCTGGGACGCACCACCTCCACGGCTCCCCTGAGTTCTGCATCGTTTGTTTCTGTTGCTGTATAGAGCACCATGTACATTAATAACGACAGGTCAGAAAGCCACATCATTTCTGCTCAGGAGATTGTCTCTTTTAAGTGGGTTTGGTCGTGGCTGTTCAGACTTGGGCTGAGCCTGAGCCAGGCCTGACTAGCTCAGAAAGAGAGCGGCGTGCAGTGAGGCAGGGAGGCCTCAGAGGAGTCTGCCCTGTGGTGTCCGGGCGGGGCAGTCCTGCCTGGTGTAAAATAGGGATGACAGAGAAAGCTGCAAGACAGCCCTTCTGTGTATTAAACTCGGCGTTGCGGAGCCAGCAGCACTGATGCAGTGGGGTAGAACTCGACTGTCGCTTTGGGGGTTTTAAACCATGTGCCTCGTCTTCTCTCCGTGACTCCAGGTGCCAGCAGGGGTACCAAGGAGCGCGCTGCCACGCCCTCAGCCTCCCGGTGGAGAACCCCTCTCGCAGCTACGACCACACGACAGTCTTGGCGGTCACGGCAGTGGTCCTGTCGTCCCTGTGCCTTATCATCATCGGCGTGTTGCTGGTGCTCAGGTAAGAGACTTGGCGAGGCCAAGAAGAGTCCAGGCATGAGGCTCGGCTGCCATTTGGGGGCATAGACGCCGCCTCACAAGGTGCCTGTTGTGGGAAGGGGAAGGGAAGGCGACTGTAAGCCGCTTTGAGACTCCCTTGGGTAGAGAGAAGCAGGCTATAGAACCCAGCTCTCCTTATTCCTATGGCCTAATGTGTATTGTTTGCCTGCTTGCTTCCATACCACTGCTCTTCTTCCAAGGATCTCGGAGTGGTTTATGGATTAGGCCCAAAAGGCCTCCCATCCTGGTGGCTCACAGGGTCACATCATCTACAGTTTGGTGTGGTGGTTAGGAGCACAGACTAAAAATCTGGGAGAACCGGGTTTGATTCCCCACTCCTCCACACGCAGCTGCTGGCGTGACCTTGGGTCAGCCACAAGTTCTCTCGGAGCTGTTCTCTCAAGGGCCGTTCTCAAGAGAGCTGTCTCAGCCCCACCGACCTCACAGGGTGTCTGTTGTGGGGAGGGGAAGGGAAAGGAGATTGTAAGCCACTCTGAGACTCCTTTGGGTAGTGAAGGGCGGGGTATGAATCCAGTTGCCTCCTCCTCCATAGTATAAGGGTGTCCTGATCAATGTTCCCTCTAAGCTGTGGAGTCTTGTGAGCAAAATTTCTACTTTGTGAGCTGCTGGCATTAAAGTTGTGAGCGAATGATTCGGCCACTGCATAAATTAGCGTGCTCTGGAGCCATGCTCCCTGAGCTAAGACAAAAATCTGTGAGCTGGAGGCTAAAATTCTGTGAGCTAGCTCACACTAACTCAGCTTAGAGGGAACACTGGTCCTGATCCTCTCAGCCGATCTCTTGAGTTTGTAAACCCCCCACCCCCCCAACTTCACTGCAGGGCTTCTTGAGAATGTTGTGGCTTGTGTTTGCTGACCTCAACCAGTAGTGGTTACCAGGAGCAGCGATTGTTCTCTAAAGCATAGGGAGTATTACAAAACACCTTACAATCCTAGCCTTGTTCGATCTCCTAATAACCTCTGGATTAGGGGTCCTTCAAAGGAGCACTGTGCAGTCAGGGAACTGAGGCGGCTAGATCTATCATCCAAGCCAATCCATTGAGCCCCTGTTTTTTTGAATTCCCCCCCCCCCCCCCCAGTTCAGCACCAAGGTTCTGTTCATTGTTCCGTGTCTGGTTCTCTGTAGGACCTTCTGGGAGAAGTGGTCGTCCTTTTGATTAATTTGCAATAGTCTTTCTTTGGTGTTGGCTTTGGAAATCTCTTCCGGTCTGATTCTGTAAGTCGCTGCAGTAACTCTTCTGCAAGGCTGAGCGCGGGACCAGACAAGCTTGTTCAGGGAGCGAGGAACGAAGTCCGGTTTCAGAGCTTGTGCTCAGTGTGGACACTTGCCAAGGAAAAGGCACAGGGCAGAGCGTCTGATTCTTGGGTCTGGGGATCTGAATGGGAGCAGTAGCCGTGGCCCGCTTTGGCAACCAACAGGTTTGCCTCTGGCACGTAGGGCTGGAATCGATCCGTAACTTGAGCCTCCTTACCTTTTGGTTTTTCCAGGTGTCACAAGCAAGGAGTTTATGATGTCGAAAGCGAAGAGAAGGTTAAGCTGGGTATCACGGTCAACCACTGATGCGCCCTGGGACTGCAAGGTAACCCTTCCAGATATGTGGCCGGGGGAGGGAGGGTTGTGGCAAGAAGAGACGGCGCTGGCTTCTGTCCTGGTCTTGCCTTGAAGGGAAAGGACTGGTCCCACGGCGGCCGGACATAAACTGGGAAATTGCGGGAATAGAAATAACCAGTGCTCCCTCTAAGCGGTGGAGTCTTGTGAGCAAAAATTCTACTCTGTGAGCTACTGGCATTAAAGTTGCGAGTGAACGATTTGGCGACGGCATCAATTAGTTTGCTGCGGAGCCCTCCTTCCTGAGCTCAGACAGAAATCTGCGAACTGGAGGCTAAAAAACTGTGAGCTGGCTCACACTAACTCATCTTAGAGGGAACACTGGAAATAACGCGACCAGAGCAACAGAATACATACTGTGGATTAGACTACAATCCCATTCCCTCCATTCTGATACTCTGCAGCCTTATTTCCCCTTAGCGGCTGTTTCTTCCTGCCTCTGTGTGGCTCTGCCTGGCCCTTGCTTGGGGAGTCCCCTCTCCAGCATCATGAGTTGACGGCTTTTTCCTTTTATTGAGTCCCTCTATCTGCGATGTGATTTGCTGTCCATCCCCTGTAGCTCAGTGGCCTCTTTGCTGCTGGCTGTCCTGCTGGAGCTCTGCCTCCCTCAGTGCAGAAAGAAAAGCCAGAATTCTGAGGATTATGACTCAGCTACTGTGGAGCTGTGGTGGCTCAAGTGGTTAAGACGCTGAACTGCAGGCTGTGGAAGGTCGGTAGTTCAGCAGTTCGAGACCCGAGTTGCCACATGACGGAGTGAGCTCCCATCTCTAGTTCCAGCTCCTGCCAACCTAGCAGTTCGAAAGCAAGACATTGCAAGTAGATAAATAGGTACCACTTCGGTGGGAAGGTAACAGCGTTCCGTGCGCCTTGGTGTTTAGTCATGCCGGCCACATGACCACGGAAACGTCTTCGGACAGCGCTGGCTCTTCGGCTTTGAAACGGAGATGAGCACCGCAACCCTAGAGTCGGATTCGACTGGCTTTCGAGCAAGGGAGACCTTTACCTTTACTTTACTGTGGAATCAAGTTTTTTTAAATCAAAGCAGTAGAGGCTTCTGCAGATCTTAGCCCCAGAGTGTGACACTAGCAGGCTGAGAAGGGGTGGGTGGGTAGATCTCTAAACTGCAAGCTGTCGATCACTTTAGATATCAGTTCTCCGCTGCTGCAAGTGAATCACTTCTGCCAGCCTCAGCAGCAACCATTCTGAGAACAATCCGGCAAAAGGGGGGGGGGGGATAACTTCTATAGTCAAGGAAACTAACAGGCAGAAAAACTCTCTGAAAGGAGAACCGTGTCTTGACACAGAGTTAGAAGGGGTCCTAGAGGTCACCTACTCCAACCCCCTTGCTCAGTGCAGGAATTAGTCAACTACAGCACCCCTCTCTGCTTAAAGGAGCACACACCTTAAAAAAAAAGTTTTTAAATTGCTGAAAAAAGTATTTACAGGGAAAATTCTGGTGGGGCTGTGCCTTTAAGGAAGGGGGCGGCCCCCCCAAAAGCCCCACTGTAGCTACGGGCCC